GGCAGGCAGTAACGCTGTCAGTCACGCTGGGATCACAGGGTTGCTCTGGCTGTGCTAAGCTGGGCTGATGTTTTAGTGCAGCGGGTGCCTGTTGTTGAGGTGAGGGGTGGCCACCAAAGGGAGGAAGCTGAAGACGAGGGCAGCAGACACCCTGACACCTGGGGCCTGGTGCTGCTACCGTGGGACCCCTGGGGCTCCAGTCGCATTGCTCTGGGGGTTTTATTTACCACGCTGGCAGGGCTCGGGGAAACTCGGGGAAACCAGCGTAAGGTGCTTTCACCGGGACAGCTCGACCAGCATCGTGGCACCGACTGTTGGGCAATCACCGTTGGTGTGCATGGCTGGCACAGAATGAGCCCGCCGGCTGGGTGCTGCTGACACGGTCATGTGCACTGAGCACTGAGCACCCACCTTGCTGCTGGCAGGGACCCAGCCCCAGCCCGCCCTCGGAGGCACTGCTCTGCCCACAGGGCACAGCAAAGCCCGGGCTTTGTGCACAGCCACTGGGACGTCCCGGGCTTACTGAAGCCCGGGGTTTGCTCCGCACGTGCTTCTCTGGCTGCTGGCAGACCATGGGTGGCAGATATCTTCATTTGTCCTTGCCCGATAGGACCTGACATGGGGCCACAGAGCCGCAGAGCGATGCATGACACTGCAAAGCGACCACAGCCCAAACCACTGGGCTCGGTACCGCTGTGGCCCTGAGTGGCTTTTTGGATATGGTGCAGGAAACGCTCTGTCTGTAATTTGGTTTCAGTCTGTTTGGTATGAAGAGCGTTTTAAGAGCATCCCTTTTTATGTTGAAGCATCCACATATGAAGTTGTTCATGCTCCCTTCTGGTCCCCAGAAGTGAAAGATTTCAATGCAGCAATCACTGTTTGCCAGCTCCTCGCATTTGCATGCTAATAGATAAAAATTAACCGATAGTATTTCCAGTTCTGCAGTGACATGCTAGGTTGAGAAAATTTAAAGAAAAATTTAAATAAAGGTGCTTTTGATATTATTAGCTGCAGAGCACTGATTTCAAGGTTTCCATCAGCCTGTGACTGTTGACATTAACTCCTGCACCCGGATGCTCAGGCTCTGCCCAAGCTGCAGGAGAGGTTTACACGATAAACAGGTTTCTGCCCTGGGGCACCCACCCAGGGGACACTTCAATAAGTCCTTTATGAAGGCATCCTTTTTCCAGGAGAATCTCCTCTCAGGACAGTAGCCAAGAAAAGCTGTAATTTGAAAGATGAGCTTTGCTAGGTATCTGTCCTCTGTGTATCAGCTCGTGGCTGTTTCTCTGGGGTGCCAGTCCACACTGAAACATGGTACCACTGCATGGCAATCACTATAAATGCATCGAGCAGCAAGGGAACAGGCAGGGCATTTGAAATAAGGGAAAATTGCATATGGTCATTTTCTGTTTCTCCTCTGAAGGTCATTTAACTTGGGAGAAACACATGGTGACATTTCACTGGCTTGCCGGAGGAGCACACTGAATGCTGTTTTGGTGATGGGTTGGGTTTGCCCATCCTAATGATGCTTCCAGCGCATTAGTGGTCACTGCTCTTCAATATGAATCTGCTCTAGAAGCTCAAAAGTTTGTGTTAAAATTACATAATGTAAAAAAAAAAAAAGTAAAATAATGTAAATAATGTAAAAAAATGTGGGAACACCCTTGGTGAGAGGGGCTGCGGATGATCACCCCTGCAGGCTCTGGCACACGGGCTTGGCTGAAATGCTTCAGACATTGAGCTGGGTCTCAGATTCAGGGGTGCACAGAGTCCCAGTCCTGCGTGCTTTTCCCACCCAGCACTCGAGAGGTGTGAGCTTGGCGTACAGCGGGTTAGGAACTGCAAAGCCTGTACTGACGCAGCAAACCGAACCAGCCTTCCTCAGCGGTGCAGCGCGGTTCCCATAGCTGAAGGTCACTAGCTGGAAGACTGTGCAGATAAAATCTGATCTATGTGAACCTGTCAAGACCTGTTGTATTGTATCAGCAGGTGGTGCTTTTGCAAAACTCACTTAACCATTTATTGGAAGGCCTGTTAGTAAACAGTGCTTTACAGGTTAGGATCAACCATTCTCCATCCCCTGACGCTTTGTGCACAGCCCGTCGGGAACGGGCAGCAGGGAGGAAGGTGGGCGAGCGCCCTGTGGCTCCTCTCGCCAGGACAGATCGGCTCCGCCAGCCGTCACAGCCGGGCGCCGGGGGCTGCGCTTCCACCTGCAGCTCTGTACAGGGTGTTGGAAATGGCTGTGACACCGCGTCCAAGGCAAGAGCCATCAAGGAAACGGAGACCGGTTATTCTGTCGAACTTTTATTCTGACTGATACAACACATTGATTTGGTACACAAACAAGCTAGTTTTTAAAGCAAACAATGATCTCAAAGTCATCTTTCCATACACTACAGTTTCCATAACATCTTTGACAGAAGTAAATGTAAATACATCACATAAAAGGCATCTCTTTACAGAAATGCAACAAAAATACACCACTCAAACAAGTAAATGGGAAACAAAAACTTTCATTTACACTAAACTCTTTGAATTAATTTTTGAAAGTGTGTTCCTCCAGCCATGTCCCGTTACAGCAGCCATGGCTGGCAAATAATGCTTGAACTCCTTTTCTGTAAACAAATTAAAAGCAGGCGTTCTTTCCCATTTTCTGATATTTAAAGTAGCTTCTTCATATTACCCCACCCAAAGATGGACAGAACTGCCTTTTTCCAAATATAAAAGTAAGTGTCCTATTTCACTAAGAAAAGGCATGGCGTAACAAAATTATTTTAAGCAAACCAAAGTGAAAACCCCTGACACTTAAGAACAACTCATGTTCAGTTACTCAAGAAGTGAACAAGGGTCCCTTCCCACAGCCGACTGAAGGCAATGTCACGTTTGAGCTGTTCGCTCATTACCACGTATTTGATTGACTGTGTACAGGAAAAAAAAACATTCTCCTCTTGCCGCTATAAAAGAGCTGATAGAAGGGGGATTGCTTCACTCTTCCTTGCAGAACTTCTCCCTTGCTGTCCCGCTTACGATCCCAGAGTCGGCTGTATGCTCTGTAAGTGCTGCTGCTCAGAAATTTCTTGACAAAGAATGATTCAGTCTAATTGTTAAGGTCATCCCGACATATTTTACAAGCGACTGGGTTTGTTTATTTGTTTTAAAAAGCTAATGTACTGAACAATATGAATCCTCCAGGCAGCAGAACAGGCTTTTTATATTCCAAAAAAATTTTTTAAAAGTATGAATCCTGCAAGGCACTTTTTCACAGAAAATGAGTAATATTTTTATTTCACCATGTTCCTGAAAGTGCTGATTAGTAAATGAACTGGGGCTAGCAGCACTGTTGACGTGCAGGCATGTGTAGTCGTTACACTCAGCACTGGCTCACACACAGTGCAGCAGCTCGCCGGGGCCATGCGGCTCTGAGCGTGGGGTCCCACAGCCTGAAGTACGCAGTCAACTTTTAACTGAAAAAGGAATTTATTGCATTAAATTGAAGAAGATGATGAGACTGACAAAAGAAAGGCAGTACACCTTAGGAAATGTGCCTCTCTGTGGTTTTAGTCTGGCTCTTGAATTAAAGACATTAGCCTTTAGGTTGTACTCAAATATCACCCAGATAAAATTAGATTTATGTAGACAGTGGCTTCTGCTGTCAGATTAATTATTTTTGACTGATAAGAAGATAAGCAATCAGACAACGCAGCAGCAGAACAAGAAAAGTGAGTAGCCAGTTTCTCTTTTGAGTAATTACTTTTATAAACAAAGGAAGAGAAGTAAAAATAAAGGTTCTGTGCAAGAAATTCCTATCAGATGCAGGATTACATTTGCCTTTAAGGCCCCTGAATTCGGTACTATATGGCACATAGTGTATGGTGTACAACTACACAATATATTGTATTTTATTGTATTTGCATCTAATTTCACCCAAGAGGCCATGAAACCAGAGACATTAGAGGCTATCATCTACAAAAGGGTGAAGAAATTGAGGAAAAAATGCAGCCGTTGTAAAGATAAACTTCAGATGTGACACAAATGGATTAGTTTTCTAATAAAACCTGAAAGTTACCTGGGGGAAAGATCGGGCTAATGCACACACTCTACCCACCTCTTCCAGTCTGCTTTATTTTAAAAATTCCCAAAGCTGCCATATCTCTCAAATTTGCTTTTGTGCAGGAAAGAAGAAATAAACTATTTTGGGGTACTATTTTGGCCACTTTGTAGGACATTTTAGTAATGAAGAGGTTTTGAGTGGCATCCCCATTACTTAAAAATCATTTGATGTTCACTTTATTCCTGGACATGTGCATTTCCAACTAAAACAACTCATATGAAAGCAGTATTTTTGGCTTTGTAAACCTTTGCCATTAATCTACAGGAAGAAGAACACTTACAGTCTCTTACAACCTGTTTATCACTCTCTCCATCTGCTCAAAGTAGTTTTATAGCGTGCTTTGCAAACAGCACTTCTTGTTATGCCTGGGTATTTCACAGGCTGGTATTTAAAAAAAAAACCCAACAGATTTCTCATTTGTGCTATTTGTCCCAATGCCACATCCTCCTCAGCAGCTGAGCTTACTTTAGCATCCACGCAGAATGAGTATTTATCAGCACAATCCATGTGTCATGAGACTCGTGCTACCTTCAGTTCTCAAAAGAGAATGATGTAACATCATTGGTACAACACAACCTTTTCAGTTTTAAGCCACTGGAATCCAAATAAAGTCTCCTAATTTTGTCTTCTTTTAATTCTTGTATATTTACATATATGAATGGCAATAACAACAGAATGTAGAAATAAAACCAATTCCTTCTTCTGTATTTGAGAATTTTTGGCACATTGGATAAATAATTACTCGGCACTATAGGTCCACTCAGTAATACCATTTTCAGCTATTTATGCAGTTGCTAACATGTTACGGATACCCCAATTCACAGTAAGATTTAAAACTACTCGTTGGCAAAAGTAGATTCCATGCAAATGGATCAATGTTCCTTCATGCCGTTGTCCGTTGGATTTCCTCTGACAAGGTGATTGATCTCTCTTTCCACTCATTGTTAGAGCACTTGGAGACAGCGTTGGCTGCTTGACAGAACTTCTGGAGGAGGATCTTTCTGAGTAGCAGGTAAACCCATGGATCCAGTATCTGGTTTAGCGAGGCCAAACGCACAGCTGTCAAGAAGAAATTGCATTCCTTGTGCAGTTCTGAGCTTTGGGCTTCACTGGAGAATCCCTTGCAGTGTTCAAAGGATGTGTGGCTGAAGATCATCTTCAACATCGTTATCTAAGGAAAGTTAGGAGGAAAAAGCAATATATGGTAGGAGACTGTTATGTGTATATGACTATATGCAAATATCCCTAAAGAAAAAAATCCTGTCATGAAATTTTTTTCCTCCCTCATCCAATTCAAACTGTGATCAGAACAAATAAGCATTGGGAGAGCAGCTCAGTTTGTGTGTGTGTATAAAACAAGTAATAAACATGATACCTTTCAGCTACCAGTCACATTTATTTATAGATCTCATGCTAAAACAAGGTAGCGCATGCTGCTTGCCTGCTTGAGACACAACTGAAAGCTGTGTGCTAAATTCTAGAGGTTCAAGATGGCCTTGGCTAGAACAGAGTGACATATTTAGGAATCTGTTTCCCACAGCATCCGAACTGGCATGACGGAGAGACACTATTTACACTGTAAAATGTTTCACATAAGTAGAACCTTCTGTAACTGATGTCTCCCATACCTCACAGCACAGATCAGCAAACTGTGGCCTGGGAGCCAAAAGCTACATGCAGGTTGATTTTTTGGGGGATTAAATGCCATCAGACATGGTAGCATCTTGATTTACAATACCAGTTACACAGGATAGGGCTGTCGGGGTCCTGCCATGGGTATTACGTGGATGGCACATGTCAGACCATAAGCACTGGTCAGCAATAGTCACTCATTTATTCAGAAAAGCCAAAGAAGAGGCAGCTTTGATTAATACTTTCACCCCAAAATCTGTACTTTAAGGTAATTTTATCGCTTGTATTTCAAAGTGCCAGTGAAGATAGGTGCTGTTGGTACGTTACAGGCAGCAGGGAGGATCCATTTTTCTTATGGGTTGCTACAAGGCTTACAATCTTTAAAACACTTATAAACTGAAGACTGCACTATAATGATTCAATCAACTAAAATAACAATACATTGTACATTCTCATTTTTCAAATTAAGACATAAACCTGCTTTACAGCTATCAATGCCATGAGCCTTGAAACACAAGGACACCTTTATTCTCATGTTACAGACTCGAGAGGTAAGACTGCCAAGAGCTGCTACAGGCTGCACAGAAAACCTGTGACTGAAAAAGAACCCAGCTTGGGATCTCCAGTGCAGTGCTCCAGCCACAGGAGCATTGGTTTTGTTACCAGGCTGCTGCTTATTCAGGTAAAAACAGTAGAAGCTTTGTTTGTTTGTTTGTTTGTTTGTTTGTTTGTTTGTTTTTTTAAAGCTGGTAATCTAGCTCACCAGAGCTGGTGTGTGATGCTCTCATATACTAATATATAACCATGGGAAATATGAATCACATTTTGAAAGATGTCAGATAGATATAATTTTCCATGGTTTAGTCAGTATCTGTTGCCTAAAGTTTTCTCTTGAGCTTTCTGTAGCAGCTGCTTAAAAATATATAATTTTAGAGGCTTTTAGTTGCTTCTTTGCAGATAAGCTACATTAGATTTTGTACTGCAATGTTTCTTCCAGGAGCCCATAAACACAGGGATCAAATTGTCTTCTGAGCAGGCACCTGCTATGCAACTTGCTGCCAAATGACGTGCGTATCAGCTGTATAATGGGGAAAATACCTGTGCTCTTACACCTGGCTGCGATGCACAATGAAGCTCTCGGGTGCTTTAAGAGCAAGGAAAAAGGCAGAGCTGATGTGAGCATGGGGCATGCTTCATAATGTATATCAGGTAACTGCAAGCAGGCCTTGTCCTTGGGTACCAGGTCCTACCACAGACTGTGTGGCACTACCACTACCTACCACCACTGTGAAGTGTGGCAGTGTGAAGTGACCTGGCACTTGCGAAGCCAGGGGTAGGGCCTGTGTCGTCAACTCTGTACTCCGAGGACAGGGCTATTGAACACCTAACTTTTCCTGGACAGGTCCTTTTTTTGCTTGCAAATCTCTTCTGGGCATGACTGTCTGAATTTACTGTACCTGGAAATCCTGCAGAATTGAGATGCAATATGTCTGCACATTTTGATGTGTCTGCTGTGTCTGTCAAGGAGGTAGATACCTATGCACAATGGCTCTGATGAACATCTAATTCACTGTCTTTGCAAAGGTCGGAGGTATCATACACTAAATAAACTGGCAGCCAGTCCTGAAAATGCAGGGAACAGCCTGAGGGACGAGACTCACAGTCAATTATTCACAGCCCTGTCCAACTTCTTAACTTCAGCCTTTCAAAAGAACCAAGATAATCTGCACCAGCAGCAACACAAGCCAAGTGATCCCAGCCAAGGTTTTCCCACAGAAGGCTGTCTTCAGAGTGGAGTCAGAAAGGTCACGTCTGGACTGCTGCTGTCCTCATAAACTGGGACAGCCAGAGCAAGAGTGACCAGGAGCAGAGGCTACGGGGGAGGATTTTTCCATTCAAAGGGATATTCTGGGTGCCAGATCAATAACCATGTGTTGACCTTGGAAAGACTTAGATGAGTCCGGAAGGCAGGGCGGCTTGCACAGCAAAGTAGCATTGTTTTTGTTTCTTTAAATAGAAGCAGTTGAGGATTCTTACTGCATTTAATTTAAATAAAAATGAAAATAAGTAACCATTGGTAGAGCTTTTTAAAAATACAGACAGATACAGATCACATCAAAAGGCCACTTGTACACCAGACCCACACAACCACAATGCTCACTTCCTCTGCCACCTCTGGCTGTTTAGGACACTGTCACTGACACTGTCACTGTCACTGTCACGGCTCGGTCTATGCTGCCTGCAGCATCTGCCTCCTGTGCCCACCAGAGTCCAGCACAACCCACCTCCTGACGGGGACGGGAGCATTACCATACCATAAAGAGTAGCAGTATTATGTAAATATGCTGTGCCCATGTTAGAGCCAATGGAAGCCACACCGCATTTGTCATTCCCAGTATCCGGATTACTTTCTCCCAGATCAGCTCTTCTAGCTCTTCCTTTGGGAACTCTGCAATGACCCTTGTTTTGCAGACCTTGTTGTTTTGTTCTTTTGTTAGTGAACCCATGGAGCTACAAAAATATCAGGCTAATAAAATACATTTCCCAAGCAGACAACTGCTGCTTATTTTTATTTTTATTACATAATATTCCTTTACTGGAATATTTGTTGGACCAACAATTGCTCTACTGGAAATATTATCTGTTTGATATTCTTAGAGGTTGTTTATCATGGCCTGTACTGGTCTTCTAAATGAATTAAAAGAAAGACTGCAAAAGGTAGAGGAACAACATCAGGTGGAATAAAGTCAATGGAACTACACAATTTATGGCAATGAAAGTTTGGCTCAAAATGCATATAGTAATATGGTTGATAATTGTATTTTTCAATTAGAGCAGATAAAACTTTACTGTTATCACTGAATGTAGTTTTATAATAACATTAAACCTCCACTGCTATGGCTTTCAAACTTACAACCAAAGACAAGATGCATTTTGTGAGATAACTTTACAGTGTTTTGAATAAAGTTGGATTATAGTACACAAGAACTTTTCAGGTTGCTTCATAGGCTCCCCAGCTGGCAAACATCACTGTGATATATTGCCACTAGCTTAACTTTACATGGGCAGCCTGTGTTACCTCAGGGACTCCCAGGCAGCTTACAATTATAGTGCAAAGAATTTAGAATGAACTTCCACTGGGGGGGGGGGGGGGGAGAACACACGGACAAAAACTTTCCCAAAGATATTTTTCCAGTTTCAGAAACTATGTTGGAAACTGCTGCTATCTGCAGTAAAAGATAGAGAATAAAACAGCTGATGTGCTGAAAGGTGCATATTTTTGCCAAGCAAGAGCTGAGTAGCTGGTCTGGAATGTGGGGTAAGAATCTGACGGGATATTCCTGGCCCAAGACTGCAAAAATCTTTTCTTGAGATAGCTTCCAAAAAACCAAACACGTTTTCTATGCATCATGAAGACAGGAGGATTAATCCTCTTACACTGCTTCTCCTCTCCCATTAGCCCTAATCTGTTGCTTAAATAATTCTCTCACACATAAAGAAGCGAGCCGTAGAAGGAACAGAGGATTCTCCTGATGAAATACAAATAGTGGCTGTGATGAGAGAACCACAGAAAGCCACGATGGAGAGGATATGATTTTTCCTTGTAATGACTAACAATTACCTATAGTCATGTACCATCTTGTTTTAAAATCAAAACTGTAATTTATTCTCATAAAATTTTTAGGACTCTCTTCTGGTGCCTCTGCTGAAGCTGAGGCAGAATGAAAGACTTCAGTTCGAGCATGCCAAATGCCGTTACAGACTCTGCTTGTGGACCCCTGAAGGAGAACTTCCCATTGCCTTGCATGAACATGGATTTCTTGTTTAAAATAGAAATACTGCCTGTCGCAGGCAAAACTAACGCAAGTCCAGCCAACGAGACTACAGAGGGGCATGTTTGGCATCCACACCACCTTAACCTTGGTTCACCCCCTCACTGTAGCCGCTCGTCCATCAGATTGACAATAATCCAGAAAGGATCTAACTTACATGGCACCTGACAATCTATCTTTATTAGCAACCTTCTTGCAGAAGGGCAATGCAACACCTCCTGGTGTGCATAGACCACAGACGTATCAATACGTCCTGGGAAGGACTGCTTCTCAAGAGCTGGCTCCGCATCAAGGCCATGCTGCTTTCTGCATGGCAGCACCACACACCTGGCATGTGCGCAGGCAGCTCTACGTGCAGCGCTCTCTCATCTGCCACCTCGCAGGACGCTCACTGGCAGAGCAACCTCCACTTCTCTGTTGCTCAGAAACATACGATAGTTGAATAATTTGCAATCCTCTCAAAGAATTACTGGAGAAGGCTGAGGATTTTAATAACAACATGTTTACAGAAGGATAGTAATGCAGGGAATCATGACAAGGTCCCATCCAAGTCTAGTGGGATTCCAACAAACGTGGTGTAATTTTTACCACTTGGTTGTGACCTTATGTAGACAAATACAGTCCAGCAAAATCCAGTCTTTTGGCAAAACTGAAATGATCAGTACGCTGGGGCAGTTTTGAAACAGGTGGTTATTTCAGCCTCAGATGGAAGCGGAGCATAAGTGGGAAGAGTTACTGATCCATAGAAAAGGAGCCATCTATTTTCCTTGAAGCTCAGTGGTATCACTGTCTTTTTTTCTAAGTGAAGGTGCTTTCCATCACTTTGTCTTGCACATCTAAAAATATTACAAAATAATATATTTTTAATAAAAATACCTGTAAAGGAGATGTATTTAATTTCTGTCTGACAGGAGGGTTAAGGAGAAGTATTTTAATGGGAAAAGCAGCATAATAAAAGAATTGTATGAGAATTCCAGTTTGTGCTGCACCAGTGTTTCTGTGCAATCAAGGAATACCTTCCTCTGTTTAACCTCAGACTCATTTCAGTCTGCTGTCAGTTTAGTTCAATGGTTATGCTCCACAGCTGAGCATCAAAATAAATAGAAGATCAGCGTGAACTGGAAACCACTTATGATAAAGCAGTATCTTATTGAAGTGGAGCATTTTCCCAAGTTCTCCATGCTGCATTCAAGTAAGATCCTGAGTGAGCAACAAAAGGAGACAATGACTACATAATGTATGCACTGCCTCTCCTACCAAATGCAGCATACATCAAGAAAAGGAGGGACGCTTCATTAAGCCATTTAGAGCATAGCTGCTATCGTCAGAAGTTTCACTTTTCTGCTAAATCACATTTAATTTTGTCATTTTCATCAACAGATCAAATCTAAAAATACTGTCTGTGTAAAAGGGCATTGTTTACCTAATAGTAATAGTTGTCAGAATCCGTTAGTCCTAGGTTATAAAACTCAGATTTCTTTTTTTAAAAAACCCCAAATCTCCTCTGAAAATCCCTGGATTCCTGTTTCAACTAAATTTCTTACAACTGCTAAATGATGCAGCTATAGGTTAAATGAGTTCTACAATCTGGCTTTCACTGAAAATGCACTTGCATTACTCCATGGTCAGTCATCCAAAAATCTGGCCTCTTATTCCTAATTTGTACTTTGTAGTTGTACAGGAAACATTGAAGTGTATGTATAAATATGCTTCTGTAGTCATGACTCTTTTGAGAATATGCTGACTATACAGCGAAGTTTTTCAGAACTCTGCAGAACAAGTTATATGCTTTCAAGTGTTGGTACCGCACAGGGAAGTGAACCATTGACAAATTCACTGTGGATTACGGCTGTGTCACCCAGTGGGGCAGCAGTCCTCCACGCAATCGTAAAATGCACGCAAAGCATTGCCAGCCAGTCTCTCTTCAACTGGCCAGGCCTTTGACTCGGAGCGTCAGGCTCCTCGCCAGGGAGTGAGTTCGCCTTCCATGGCCAAACCTCAGAGAAGCCCTGCTTTTACCAGCTCCCCGAGCGTTTGCTGGAGGTGTCAGTGTTGTTTACAACAGGCTGTTTGACCTGGGCTCTGCTCCATTAACTCATCCCATTAACACTTCCCACAGATCCATTCAGTAGAGCGAGTGTAGCTGTATCAGTTTGACTTCTGACTGTTAAATCTGCAAAAATGCCACAGGAAGGAAACCACTAAGAGGAATCCCTGCATCCTCACTGATTTTTCTGAGTACTCTGGTTCTGAAGGAAGAAAAAAAAGTCCCTCATCTCAGGGATTTTCTCTCGGTGCTACAAAGCCGGTTAAACCCCCCAGGTGCAATAGCTCCATGGCCCCCAGGCTGCTCCAGGGAGCAGCATGGCTCCTGCTACCTTGGCTGCGGACGGCAGGGCAGAACCTGCATCCCAACAGAAAGACTACAAAAGCAAGGGCTGGGAGGCAAACATACTTCCTTCATTTAATAAATGCCTTCTAATTTTTTCATCTGTTTAATTATGGACAAGCATGCAACAGTTAACTTCTGTAAAATAAAGAAATCCTAGTGTCTCCCATTGGGACTTAACTGCACACGCCAGCGGGCTAGCAGGATGTGCCACAGCAATGTTAATAGCTAGCCAGGGGGTCTGGGGCTGCAGGCAATCAATGCATGGAGACACAGAAGCAGTGACAGGGCAGTCTCCTGGTTTAACTTATCAAATCTAGCATTCCTTGGGGTCTGAGGAGCAGAATGTTATTCTTTCCTCTCAAGTTTTCACTCAATTTTCAGTGTGGTCTCATATTTTACTTTCATCACAAGCTCTTAATGATCTCTAGAAAGTTAACTTACAGCCTCTGACTTATTTTGGGGTGGGGTTATTTTGGAGATTTGGTGGAATTTTAATTCATTTACAAGAATAACATTACTTAAATTAATTTGTTTTTTATTTTTACCTCATCCCCATTGGCTGTTAGCTTTGTCAGCCATTCCTCTTGTCACAGCCCCATTTACGAGAGCTCAAGTTCTCTGTGCACAAGAAGGAAGAAGAATCCTTCTCTGGCCATAAAGTACCTTTCACATAACTTCAAAATTACCATAGCTAGCTTCAGCCCTTTCCTGCTTATAGATCCCAAGTATAAACTTTCCAAAAACCATACTATCCTCTGACAGCAGAATAAGCTGGCCTCTTTACATGGGGTACTGGACTCCTGGGTGTGCCCTTGACGCACATGGCAGAAAGAGACATAGATTCAGCCTCCTCCACTCCTAAATCATGAGGGGGGGTTTACCCCAGTTTGATAAGAAAGAAAGGGCATAAGCGAGGAATAACAAAATAGTGGAAAGAAATGCAAGGGTCCTTTAAAAAAACAGAAACAAAAAGCCCAGAATGCTGCCATAAATCAGATACAGTGAGCAATCTGCTGAAAACCAGAAGGCACTTGCACAGTCACAAGTCATACCTTTTCTCATAAACCACTGAAGTAAGTTTTGCTACAAGGTGGGAGCAAATAAAAAATCATAAACGGCTGTCTCCCATGAGCACAGGGCTCCATCACAGTGAGGTCTCGATAAACTTTCTCACAGGTCCCCCTAAATGAGGCACAAGCAGGTTTTTGTTCCCCTTGCCCCGTCACCTTCAGACCCCTATGGTGCTATCGAGCAGGTACAACGTGCTGGTCAGGCTGTGCTGGGCAGGAGCACAGCGTGCTCTCCCTGCCTCTGGAGCCCGCTGCTGGTGCCAGCCACTCTCCCTCCCCTCTAAATCTACCCCTTGTCTGCCCAGTGCCTGCAGCTCTGTGCCGCAAGCGCTGCTGACTTCAGTGTCCTGCTCCCAGACCCACGGTCTCCTTGTGTCCTGCCTGTCTCCTCTGTACGAGACCCTTGTTTTCCTCAAGGTCCCTCCCTGACTCCAGTTCCTTTGTTTTATTTTTCCAAATACGCTGCACATGGCTATCCTCTTGGACCTCTCCCAGCTTCTATCCTACCAGCCTTCCACACCAGGCTCTGTCCCTGTCCCCACTTTCTTTCCTCAGAGGCCATTCACGGCCATACTCTCCATGAGGAACCTGAACCGTTGGTGCCTCCCGCCTTGCCCAGGCCAGCAGCTCTCAGGCCACCCTGTCTCCTGCCCTGAGGGAGGGAGGGAGGAGGCCTGGGGTTAACCCACAGCGGCAGCAAGGCGACCTACCAGCAGCGGTGACCAGCAGGCTGAGAGGACACACATGATCCCCAAGAGCTGGATCAGTGTCTCCATGGCGATTCGCCCCCACTGCTTGCTGGAGCGTGATGTAGTCGCTTTGGTCCGACAACGAGACACCAAGGCCTCGATGGTGGCCAGGTTGCATGCCATAGTCACCACGAGGGAGAGGAGCCCAAGGATGGCAAAGGTGGAGGCGAAGAAGAGGCTCCCGGTGAGCTGGCTGTCGCTGGTGCTGATGAAGCACCAGGTGCCGGGCCACTGCAGAGTGTACTGGCCCAGGCCGGCAATGGGCAGGAGGGCGAAAGCGAACACGGCCAGCCAGATGCCGAGCAGCACCGCCTTCGTCACCCGCGTCTTCATGTGGCTGGCGTACCAGTGGGGCGCGCGGATGGCCAGCGTCCTCTCCACGGCCATGGCGCTGGCGATGAAGAGCGGGCAGAGGCCGAAGACTGTCATGCTGAAGCCGAAGAAGGCACAGAGGTGGCCCGAGGTGTCGACAGCGTCCCAGGCGCGGTCGGACAGGTAGACAGAGATGACGATGGGGCTGGTCAGCAGCTGCCCCAGCAGGTCGGTGAGCGCCAGTGAGCCGATGCACAGCAGGAAGGACCGCTTCCGCCGGCTCTTCTTGGCCCGGTAGCTGCGGGAGACCAGCAGCATGGCCAGGGCATTGCCCACGATGCCCGTGATCATCATGGTCAGCGGGAACGCCACCGAGACGGTGCTGCAGCCCTCCGCTGCCCGCCCCGTCCCGTTGCCCCGCTGCCGCATGGCGCCGGGGTCGGTGCCGTTGGGGTCGCCCTGGCACTGCGGCCAGCGGCTCATCCCGGCGGGCAACCGCCCATGGCTGTGAGGAGCGCTGAAGCGAGGCGCGGCGTTACCGGGCGGCGCGCAGTGGGCGGGAGCTGTTACAAGGCGGAGGCGGGCGGGGGGGGGGCGGCCCTCCCCGCCGCCAGGGGAAGGGAGAGGCGGCGCGGCACGGCGCGGCACGGCGCGGCACGGCGCGGCACGGCGCGGTTAGCGCGGCGCGGGTCGGCTGGCCGAGAGGGGCATGGCTGGGGGGTGTCGGG